ACTCAATCTCACTGTTTCAAATGACAGATTAACTTTGTTTTAGGAACTAAAATGGGCTTTTAGAGAATTCGAAAGTGGAGAGTACGGCATGTTAAGGATCCGAAACTTGGAGTCTCAACAGACTTGCCGCTTGCCTCTGCCTTGAGTCATCAGAGTTGTCGTTTGCAGCAGAGCTCACATCTTCTATTTCCGGTGAACTATTCATCTTCAGTTTACTAAACAAAATTTTTGTCTTTGGTGATTCTCCAAAACTATATATCTTACATGTTGCAATGCGATTTGGTATATCAGTATATGACTAAGAAAATTAGAACAATTTGTAAAGTTTTTTTTTAAGTTAGGAGAACAAATTTGTTGACGGCTGAGTTAAAATATGCAGAGAATTGTTATCTTAACGGCTTGATGAGTATGAGTAATTTTGATATTATCAGCATTAGAGTCACCTTCGATGCGAGTATAAAATAGTATTGAGATTTTAAGTATATGGCTTTATATTTGTTATGTGGTGTTTTCTTTCGGTTTCATGTGAATGGTTTTTCATTGTTTTAAGAATCGGGCAAATAATACAAGCTTCAAGAGCCTATAAGCTTAAAATAAAAAAAAAGGCTGATATTTGCTATTGTTCGTGATGTGGATATGAAAATTATATTTAAGTACTGATGTATCTTTACTGCAACTCTAATAGGTTAGAAAAAAACATGACCATCTGTTATTTCGCACATCTTCTATTTTTAATGATTTTGTTTACAGCGATATGTGTTGTTTTTATCCCTCTATTGCAGGATGAGGCTGATCTTATAGGAGCAAAACTGAAAGAAACGGGAAAGAAGGCATTCTAATGATTCTTCTCTATTAGAATAAGAAGAGAAAGAGATCCAAGAGGAGCTCAGATCCTAGCAGTGGTCTGAATACCGGTTTTGACATTACTTTTGCAGAAGCAACATAGAAAGGTAATTTCAGTTCTTTATTCAATTAAGCTATATACTCTACAAATCAGATAATTGCTATTCTCTAAGGTGTCGTTGGGAGTTTCTATAAACTCATATGATTTCATTGCTCTTATTAAAGTTGAGAACGCTGATAAGAGTGATGAAGACGTGGGAATCGGAAAAGCTTTACCGGAACGGGAACGTTAATTCAATTTATTTCCATGGCTTATGTTCCATATTTTTAATGATTCTCTTACATATGCATTCCACGTACTTGTCAATGGTTAAATGGGGGCATATGAATCCATGTACTACGATGATTGCTGTATACATATGCATTCCATATTTTAATGATTCTTTGTTGGAGTGCTGCTTATGAGTATGAAACTATACATAATTTTCTGATTTGACATCGCATGAGTTTCAAAGACACGGTCTTGATGCTGCTCTAAACTGCTCTGCCACTTTGAAAGGCAGCCACAAGCTCAATGAAGCTGCACTCACGGTGAAATCGGAGATGATTAGATCCCGGATACATGTTTTTCGAAGACCGATAACCATTTCAGATTATTTTACGCGGTCAGTTCTTCGACGAGATGATGCTTTTTCATAAGCATCTGAGAGCGATTTAGTTCTCCTGGGACGGAGGTTCAGGTGAGATAGAGGAATCTCTTCAAGGTTACTATTCCGTTTTCGCGTCTATAATGCATCTTTGCTTGGGTTGATAGTTGTTTACTGATAGTTGCAAAATACTGAGAAAAATTATGTAGTTTATTCCTGATCATATGAACTTCTTCAGCCTTGGGGAATCTTTGAATTAAAATAAATCAAAAAAAAGTTTATATGTTATTTAGTAGCTTGAACCTATTGAAATTTGATCTTATAAGATGCAAACACTGCAAACTGAGACAATGTAAAAAATGTTTAAAAATAAAATGTACAAAGAAATTAGATTCATAAGCCCTCACTAAAACAACAAACATATACTCTATCTATTTTTTAAAGAAGATAATTTAAGAATTTTCACACATAAAACTATATTAAATATGTATCATATATATGTATTAACAATTTTTCAATATTTTAACCAATCATAATTCAATAATTTCAATTGGTTTTCATAAAAGTTGAAATTAATCAGTATTACTTAATAAAAAAATGGATTGAGAACTGAGAAAACTCATCTTTAGAATACCAAAAGATTGGGCGTATATAATATGAAAGCAATATATAAAAAACAATATTTTAAAGATGATTTTTCTTAATTTTCAATGTTTTTTCTAAAAGATGAAGTGAAAGCTCAAAGACAAATACATCTATATTTTGGTGACAAATGAAATGTGAATATGTTTGTAACTCATACACATACAAAAGTTTTGGTCTATGTGAAAATTATGGCATCTCATAGGCAATTGCATCATTAAGAAATTGATATATATATATATATATATATATATATTTTTTTTTCCTTAACAGAATTAACAACTAAACTTCCTTGAAATAGAGAAGAACATAAAACTAAGAGTTAATGATGCATTATATGTCACTTGCATTTTCCTAAATTAACTCAAAGTTTAAGATAATCGAATAATTAACTGAACATGAAAGATAAGACTCAACTTCATTCACACAGTTTTGCCAAAACTATGTATGATGTTGGAAATGCGATTTATAAGTTATAAAATAAAAAAAATGAATCAGACGTCATGTTACATGAGGGGTGAGAAAAAAAACCGAAAAAGTAAAGTAACAAATGAGTCGGATAGACCATAATATATATATTTTTTAAACAAACTTTACAAAACATGAAAAAAAAACAAAAGTAAAATGAGAAAAATTAACAAAACCACCCACGTGTAGTGCGGGCTTCAACCTAGTTGTTCCAAATTGTAAACAAAACTTTTAGTAGTCTTTTAATTGATATCCGAGAAAATTTAATATATAAAAATATATTAAATTATTTTTAAAACTTAATTGACTTACCAAAAGAAATTTGTTAATTTAACAATATTTAAATTATTTATTTCCACATTACCATTTCTTGTTACATAGTTTCCAAAATTTGAATCATTTTTATTTCAAACCACTAACGTAAAATTTGAATGACCTAACGACAAAGTCAAGCTTCTTTGCAACGAAAGAGATAAATGCAAAAATATATGATCAATGCTAAACAAAGCAAATAAACATCAATCTGATTTAAATGCATTTACCAACGAATAAAAAAAATACAGCAAAGAACTTTTGTTAGTCATAAAGAAATTTGTGTTCTTAAAACACAAATAATTGCTCCAAAATTCCTGCAAAATAATCAGAGAATTAATCCAATATCCAGAATTTAGTTCTTCCATGAACATTTGTTCATATAAATCTTAACAAAGATAAGAATTATTAATGCATATCAAAATGATTTTTCAGATATAAACACTGACAAAATTCTAAAATATTATGCAAAAATAATTAAAATAAATTGCAGAAAATTAGAAGAATTAGTCATATATTCTTCATTTGATAACCTGCAAAAATCATCAGAATTAATTTCTGAAACACCAGAAAATTTAATCCCATAAAATCCTGATAATCTGCAAAAAAATAATTAGAATAAATTGCAGAAAATTGGAAAATTAATCCTATTAATCCAGAATTTCCTGTTCCTGTTTTCATGACAAAAACACTTCATAAAAATCAGTTTTCGTTAGTGCAATAAGCAAAAACGAAAATTTACAGAATTAAGATTGTAGGAACGCAATTTCTACAATAGGCGACTGGTAATTATAAAGTGTGAATATGAACAAATTAATATAATAGAATATTAAAATGATACAAAATAAACAAGAATTAAGGAAAATAAAACCGCATATGCAGAGCCGAGACGCCCCGTAGTGTGACGGTTGCATGGCGTTCCGAATCCCAGATAAAACTGCACACTTCTTATGTTTGCATCACTCAATACATAAGCTTGCGAACCATATTTTCTGTGATGTACTCTCATAAGGAAACCAAAGAAAAAAAAAAAAGAAGTGAGAGATTGTTGTTTTTGTCTTGTGTAAGTATGAGAAGACCAAGGCTTCAATATATAGCCAAGTGCTCAACAAGAGCCATAAAGTAGAGATTGACCAATTGATTCTCTTCTTAATTGTCTTGACTGAATTTATAAAATTCAATCCTCCATCAATGAGACAATTAAAGGAGATATTTTTTTCTTTTGTTGACTTAATAAAAAAGAATACTTGGTCAAAAGATTAACTTCAAAAACCGTTGGCCTGATTGCCATATCCCGAGGCCCGAAAACAAGTTCAGCCCGGTTATCTCTTTTCTCCACTTTATATACAAGAGGATTTCACCTCAAACTTCTAATGTGGGACATTTCATAAATGTTACATTTTATGTTATACAATCAACCCATTTAGACCTTCATTTCTCATTCAAACCAACTTCATTTTTGACATATAATATACTATAAAAATGAGTTCCAACAAAGTCAACCCCGGGCAGAGAACTATGGCTGATATTGTGAAAATGGGTAAGGCTCTCCATCAGCAGAATGTTGTTATGCCTAGTTCATCACTAGAGACTAAAAAAAAAAAGTGTATGTAACGCTCTTTTGAAGGATGAATGGCCTTCAATTGAGAAGCAAGATTTATCTTATGTATCATCTTCTCTCTTGAAGACTTTTGCAGAATCCAAAAGTTCTAACAACCAATTTAGTGAGTCTCAGCATCTGGATGACACTCATTTGGATGATGAGGTCCCTGAAACAAAAAAATCCAATTGTGTTTTCTCCTGAGGTAGATCCCCAGGTTCCGCTGGCTTCAATATCCAAGAGGAAGACAAACAATTCAGGAATGCTGCTACTGGTGAACAAACATCCTATCAAATTGATTCAACTGCTAGGAATTACCATGCTTCCTCAGATTCTGTGATAGAAGTGGCAGCGCAACATGAACCTTCTCAAGAAAATCATTTGTACATGTTTTCATCTCCTGCAGATTACGAATATGAAAACAGCCAACAGTTAAATCCTTCATCAGAAGCAAATCCCCAAATACAGACTCTTGGTACCTGTTGGGGATGGATTTCACCCCATCGAGACCAACGGTCAAGGCGCGCGTAGACGAAGAGCGCGCAGAAGGAATCACCAACGACGAGCCAACTAGCTGCGACGACCCAAACCTTCACGACGCGGGAAGGTTCAACAAGTTCGAAGCGTGCGACGAGCCAAGTCTAAGCGTTCGAAACGACGACGCACCACAAACGCGGAGTAAGAAGTTAATGGGCCAGACCAACGTCGACTTGGGCCGAACCAACATCAACGATTCGAGCCGAGGCCCACGACGCACTTGTGATTTGCCCTAGAACGCAAGGTTGGCGGCGCCGCAAAGGATAACACCAAATATTGGAGAATATCTCACAAGATTCTCAGAGAAAGTCGGTGAACAACTTGTATAAATAGATATTAAGGCTCATTGTTTCAGCCATCACTTTTTGACACACTGTTACGCTGCACAGCTCATCACACTTTACATCAATAAAAACCACTACCTTTGGATCTCGTTTTGTGTTACACTTAGAATTTCTAGGCCCTCTCTTAAAAATATCTCTTGAATCTATTGTGCGGATTTCGGTTCACACAATTTGGCGCTAGAAGGAGGGGGTTAGAAGATTTCTTACTCAAAAAACACTTGAGATCCGAAGAGATGACCGGACCGACAGCGAACGCAACGAGAATCGTCCCGCCGGGAGGCGATCCGACCGCAACAACCGACGAACAACAGACTGCCAGGAACGCGGCGATCGAACTGGCCAAGATGCAGGAGATGATCACCGCTCTGCAGAAGAAGGCCGAGGAACAAAACACGCTGAACAGCTCGCTGACACGGGAGTTAGAGACCTTGCGAGCCACCCGGCAGCAGGAGGAGGAGGCGAGGAGAGCCGCAAGGAGGAACGGCATCGACCCCCTGGAACTCAACTTCACGACCCCAGAGGCAGGAGCAGGAGGCCGAGCACCGGTCGGAGACGGAGCCACAGATCCACCCCCCTTGAACAGATCAAACGCGAATGCGAACGGCGAGCCCATGGCGACAGGAGATGCGCCAGGTGGAGGGTCGGCGCCAGCAAACGGAACAGGATCCCACACGACTCACATCTCGGCAGCCAACCAATACAGCGACGAAGCGCTTGCCGGACTCGTAGACCGGCTGATGGCGACGAAGATTAACGATCTACAGATCGCGGGAACCATCAGCGGAAGCTCGCACGACAACGAACTTGAGGAGCTGCGAGCCAGAATGGCGCGATCCGATGAGAATACGAGAGTCCTCAGATCCCAAGTCCACAAGGCTCTCAGCGCAGCTCCAGAGATAGATCAATTGTGCGAAGACACGGAGAAAACCCCTTTCTCCCCAACAATTCTCAACGCCAAGGTAACCGATCCGGGAAGGCTCAACATCCAAAAGTACGACGGAACAACCGACCCAAGGGAGCATGTAAACACCTTCCGCATTATCTTGAGCCGAGTCGACTTCCCGACTCCGGAGGCGAAGGACGCAGCATACTGCAAGTTGTTCGCAGAATACCTCAAAGGACCAGCTCTGACGTGGTTCATGCAGATCGAACCAAACTCAATCGCAAATTTCCATCAGCTGTCGTCTCAGTTTCTCAAGCAATACTCCATGTTCATCGAGAGTGCCACTTCCGATGTCGATCTGTTTACCATGATGCAAGGGCGAACCGAAACACTGCGAAATTTCATGGCGCGTTTTAAAGCAGTTATGGCCAAAACAGTAGATGTGACAGACAGGGCCGCCATTGCCGCCCTCAAGAGAGCACTTTGGTATCAGTCAGACTTTCGCAAGGAGATAGCGCACAACCCACCACTGACGATCCAAGACGCGATCCACCGATCCTTATCTTTTGCCATCGAAGAAGAAGACCTGAAGAGTTCGGCAAAGTTACACGAACCATCCAAGCCAACTCTGAAACCTGCATTAACAGAGCAACGTGCGCCGAACCAGAGGAAAAACAACCAGAGGGGTGGATACGTCCATCACGAGGGACCAAACCTCGCCGGCGCACATAACTATCAGGTCACCACCGGTGAACAAGTGAACGCTGGCTTCCAACCGGGCGCTGGTCGAGGAAAGAATTGGAACACCTGGACGCGGAACCCTACCACCTATGACAAAGAAGCGTACTGCGAACACCATCAGAGCTACGGACACTCTACCGAGAAATGCCGAAGTTTGGGCGCACTGCTGGCGAAGAAGTTACTAAGTGGCAAGCTGGGGAGCGAAGTAACACTCAAAGATCTTGAACGACCCAAAGTGAAAGATCGATCCGAACCACCATTCCCGCCTGCCGAGCCGACGAAGCGCGGAAGGAAAAACGACGACGGTGACCAACCGAGTTCGAGAAAGAGAATCAACGTGATCATGGGGGGATCGCAGTACTGTCAGGATACGATCTCGTCGATCAAATCTTTCCAACGAAAGGTCAACGCAGCAATAAACTGGTCCGAACCATCGAGGTTCCCGAATGACGTAATCACTTTCGAAGAAAGGGAAACGACCAGGATCGACAAGCCACACAACGATCCACTGGTGATAGAGCTGGTCGTAAGTAGCATGGACGTAGCCCGAGTTCTGATCGACACGGGAAGCACCGTGAACGTGATCTATAAGGATACGTTGAAGAGGATGACGATAAACCTGGACGACGTAGTGCCGATCCCAAAACCCTTAACGGGGTTCGCAGGTGAAACAACTATGACCGTCGGAACTATAAAGCTCCCTGTCGCAGCCGCTGGCGTCATGAAAGTCGTGGATTTCTCAGTGGCAGACGCCCCGGAAATCTACAACATCATCATGGGGACACTGTGGATAAACTCTATGCGAGCCGTCCCATCAACCTACCACCTCTGCGTCAAATTTCCAACTCCAGGGGGAATAAAAACGATTTGGGGAGATCAGAAAGAGTCACGAATATGCTTCATGTCCGAACACAAACTGAGAAACCCAATGACCGAACTCTTTGCAGAAAGAAACCGGAAGAAGTTGAAGACCGGCCGCGAGCCAGCAAACGACCTTGCCAAACTCTTATAGCAATTACAGATCACGGAAGATCGCAGAACCGACGAACCATCCTGCGACACCGTGATCCAAGTCTGCATCGATGAAGCACACCCTGAGCGTTGCGTGGAGATCGGGGCTCAGCTCGAAGAACCACTGAAGGAAGAGTTGATCGTGCTCCTAAAGGAAAACGTCAACACCTTCGCATGGGCCGCGGAAGATATGCCAGGGATTGACATCAACATAACATGTCACGAGCTAAACGTGAATCCAACGTTCAAGCCAATCAAGCACAAGAGACGAAAACTGGGAGCGGAGCGAGCCAAAGCCGTGAATGACGAGGTAGAGCGACTTCTGAAAGTTGGATCGATTGCCGAAGCAAAATATCCGGATTGGCTCGCCAACCCCGTTGCCGTGAAGAAGAAGAACGGAAAGTGGCGGGTATGCGTTGATTTCACGGATCTTAACAAAGCATGTCCAAAAGACAGTTTACCGCTTCCGCACATCGACCGCCTGGTAGAAGCAACAGCGGGGAACAAATTCCTGTCTTTCATGGACGCCTTCTCTGGATACAACCAAATCCTCATGAATCCAGACGATCGAGAGAAGACTGCGTTCATAACAGATCGCGGAATCTATTGTTACAAAGTAATGCCGTTCGGATTGAAGAATGCCGGAGCAACCTATCAGCGGCTCGTCAACAAGATGTTCGCCCAACAACTTGGAAAGACAATGGAAGTCTACATTGACGACATGTTGGTCAAATCCCTCGAAGAGAAAGATCACGTGGTTCATCTGCGCGACTGTTTCGAACAGCTCAACTCGCACAACATGAAACTCAATCCGACGAAGTGTAGGTTTGCGGTAACATCCGGAGAGTTCCTTGGATACATGGTGACCCACCGAGGCATAGAAGCGAACCCAAAGCAGATTCTCGCGCTGATTGAAATGACCTCGCCGAAGACGAAGCGAGAAGTCCAAAGACTCACGGGACGCGTGGCAGCACTCAACCATTTCATCTCCCGCTCGACGGACAAATGCCTCCCCTTTTACGATACCCTGCGAGGGAACAAAAAGTTTGAATGGGACGAAAAGTGCGAAAAAGCTTGTCAAGAACTGAAGGAATACCTGGCGAACCCGCCGATACTGGCCAAACCAGTGGAAGGCGAGCCACTTTTTCTCTACATCGCTGTATCAAGTACCGCAGTGAGCGACGTCCTAGTTCGAGAAGAACGCGGCGAGTAGAGACCCGTTTTCTATGTAAGCCAATCGCTGGTCGACGCAGAGACCCGTTACCCACAAACAGAAGAGCTTGCACTCGCCATTGTGATGTCGGCTCGCAAGTTACGCCCGTACTTCCAATCGCACACAATAATCGTCTTAGCCTCTCTTCCGATGCGAGCCATCTTACACAGTCCGAGCCAATCTGGGCGACTAGCCAAATGGGCCATCGAACTCAGCGAGTATGACATAGAGTACCGAAGTAGAACCTGCGCAAAGTCTCAAGTCTTGGCCGACTTTTTGATCGAATTGCCAACAGGAGAAGCGGGCGAGCCACACACCAGCTCAACTTGGACCCTGCACGTCGACGGCTCGTCGTCCATACAAGGAGCCGGGGTAGGAATACGCTTGACGTCCCCCACGGGCGAAATCCTGGAGCAATCGTTGCGACTAAACTTCTGAGCATCCAACAACGAAGCGGAATACGAAGCATTGATCGCTGGACTCAGATTAGCCCTCGGCATCGATGTTCGAGAAATCCGAGCTTTCTGCGACTCACACCTCGTCGCGAACCAATTCAGCGGGGAGTACGCCACCAAAGACGAGAATGGGGAAGTATATGGCGCTCGTCAAAGAATTGGCTGCGAAGTTCACCAAATTCGAGCTAACGCGAGTACCCCGCGGCGAGAACACGCAAGCAGACGCCATAGCTGCGCTAGCATCCACGTCCGACCCAGATCTCAAAAGGATAATAACGGTGGAGTTTATTGAACAACCAAGTATCGATGCTCCAGGCCCAGTTATGGCGATAACGTCAACACCACCCGAACTAGACGATGGGATAGCCGACATGGAGATAGACGGAGAAGTTGAATACGGCTGTGACAGAGAATGGATGGGCGCGATCCGAGCATATATACATGACGGCGAAATCCCGACAGAGAAATGGGCAGCTCGCTACGTGGTGATAGATGGAAACTTATTCAAATGGCGATTCTCGGGGCCGTTGCTCAAATGCGTCGAGGGGAAGGACGTGCGGAAAATCATGGAAGAAATCCACAGCGGCTCTTGCGGAAACCACTCAGGCGGACGAGCCTTAGCAATCAAGATTAAGCGTCATGGGTACTACTGGCCATCAATGATCACGGATTGCGAGAAGTACTCGGCCAAATGCGAGAAATGCGAACGACATGCGCCGACGATCCATCAACCCGCCGAGCTACTATCGTCCATCTCGGCGCCGTACCCATTCATGCGCTGGTCGATGGACATCGTGGGTCCCTTGCACCCGTCGAAGCAAAAACGATTCTTGCTGGTACTAACGGATTATTTCTCTAAGTGGGTGGAGGCAGATTCGTACGCTAGCATAAAAGACGCTCAAGTCGAACAATTCGTTTGGAAGAACATCATCTGCCGCCATGGAATTCCTCATGAGATCGTCACTGTTAACGGCTCGCAGTTCATTTCAGCTCACTTCGAAGGATTCTGCGAAAAGTGGAAAATTCGACTCAGCAAATCTACGCCGCGCTTTCCGCAAGGAAACAGTCAAGCCGAAGCAACTAACAAGACGATCCTTGACGGTTTAAAGAAACGTTTAGGCGAGAAGAAAGGATGTTGGGCAGACGAGCTCGAAGGAGTGCTATGGTCCCACCGAACTACACCGCGACGAGCAACAGGAGAGACGCCGTTCGCGCTCGTGTACGGCACAGAGTGCGTGATCCCGTCGGAGATCCACTTCCCAGGAGTTCGTCGTTGGCTTTTACCAGAACAAGAAGGACTTAACCACCTGATGCTCCTCGACGAGCTGGACTTGATAAACGAACGACGCGACCAAGCGTTGATCCGCATCGAGAACTACCAGCAAGCGACAGCCAGATACTACAACGGCAACGTTCGAAGCAGAAGGTTCAGAATAGGAGACTTGGTCCTACGCAAAGTCTTCCAGAAAACCGCCGAGCTGAATGCAGGGAAGTTGGGCGCGAACTGGGAAGGCCCCTACAAGATAATCGACGTCGTGCGACCTGGTGCGTACAAACTCGAAGGAATGGACGGAAAAACGATACACAAGCCGTGGAACGTGATGCACTTGAAAAAGTACTATCACTAGAGCCCCCCAACGCTCATTAAACAGAACTACGCATGGCTTGATTCTCGCAAGAGATACGTAGGCAGTTCACGGATTCAGTTCAGACGCCAAAAAAAAAAAAAAAAAAAAAAATCCATCTCGGAATCACTTAGAACTACACGTGACTTGATCCTCGCAAGAGGTACGTAGGCAGTTCATCTTCGGATGGATTCAGTTGCCCCTCCCAAAAAAAAAGGGGGGGGAGTGGAGTACGTATACTCATATACTCCCATTCTTTGTAACAGAGTCTCACTCAATGAAACGTATTTCTCACAGTTCGCAAAATCTTGTGTTTCAACTCACACCTCACCACTCGAACCAAAACAATCCTTCGCGGATTTTCATTAACGCGCATGTCGATCGACCGTATTTGTTTCAACTTGTATGTCCTAAGGAAGGATATTTCGAGAACAACCGAAACAAAAACGCCCCTCACAGCAAACAAAAACGCCCCTCGGCAAACAAAAGCGAACTAAGTATAGATTGTTTGAGTCACTCGAACAAATCTAATACGAACGGTTCACCTACTTTTTCATCACAACGTCATAATAGCTCGGCACGAAAAGGCTAAAAGTCCCAAAAATCTTTCATAAAGCCGAACCAGTCAAAAGTGGATAAAGCCTTCCAGGCAGTTCGTCCAAAAGCAACACAAAGCAAAGTCAAGGTGGATAAAGCCATCCTGGCACCACGTCAAACAAGAAACAAAGTCTAAAAATAAAGAAAGAGACTACTCGCGCGCGAGCCCAGAAGCCCCCTCGAGCTCGGCATCACCGTCAGCTCGCGTCTCCATGTTCGTGCCGTGCTGATCAATGACTCCAACCGACTCGGCGATCCTCTCAGCCGGCTCGGCGTCAAAGGCGGGCTTCGGGTCAGCATCTACAACAATCTCCAGATCGCGGATAACTGGCTGCAAACCAGAAGCCTCATGAGTCTCAGACTCCGGAGCAACGGGAGACGAACCGAGGACCAAAATGGGAGACTTCGGAACTTAGACGCGATGTCCAGAGCGACGGGAGACGAAATGGGAGTAAAGGGCAGCAACCCTAGCTCGGCGATAAGACCGGCGACTATGTCCTCATGCTTCCCATACGCATCCCCCAACTCGACCTTATAACCATTGAGCTTAACCACCTCAGCATCAAGAGAAGGTGGCTTGGCGCCTTGAAGAAGGTCGATGAACTCCAGGTTCGCCTCCATCTGAGCGAGCTCCACCTCTTTGTCCTTCGCATCTGCGATCGCCCTGAGAGCCAACCTAACCTTGGCAATCTTCGACTGAAACACAAATCAAAAAGCAAAACAAAGTTAAGAACTCGCGAGAAAGTAGGTTGAACTCATCCAAGGTCAAAAAAAAAGGGAAGCGAGCCAATCATAACTCACCTGAAACTCATCCGTCAATTCGCATTCAAGGGCTTCCCGCGCTCCCCGAACAGCGGACTCCTGCTTATCCTTCAGTGAAGCAAGCGCACCCTCAACCTTGCCCTTCTGGAGCTCGGCAGCCGCAAGAATATCAGACTTCAACTCCGAGTCGTTCCGGAGAGCGGCGTTCTCCTTCTCAAGCCTCGCAGCCTTTGACACGCTCAAATCCATCTCGGTCTCGTGCTTAAGAGTAAGTGTATCGATGGCGTTCTCCAACTCGGATTCATTCTTGGAAGTCGTTGCGAGAAGCTTCTTATTGAGATCCGCCACCTTCTTCACTTCGTCACCGAGTCTGCTGAAATCCTTGCGAGCCTTCTCTTCATACTCGAGCACCATCTTGTTGATAAACTCGACGAGCTGAAAGATCAACCAAAAAGAAGAAAAAAATTTCAACCCGAGAAGAAGATACCGAAGCAAAGACAAGACAAGATGAAGAGACAGAGACATACCCTCGATCCTTGGCTGGACATCTCGCCATAAACCGTGGGCTGCGAGAGCGCATCCACCGATAAGAACCCAACCCGCGACGAAGAAGAAGAACGCGAAACGACGCGAACGGCGGCACAATCGCGGTTCGGCTCGCCATCCTTAGTAATCTCAGAATCAGCAACGCGTTTCTTCTTCTTCTCGGTACTGTGGCTCGGCGCATCCTTATCCGGGACAAGTCGCTTGCGGCTAGGCGCGTCAACGCCCTCTTGCGGAGGAGGAAGAGCAACCGCAGCAGCTCGGCGCTGAGAGTCTGAAGGAGGCGGGATCACCTTCGAAGTACCAGGAGTCGACCTTCCTTTCTTCTTCAGGTCCAAAGTGGGCGGCAGCCTCGGCTCGTCGGTTCGTGGTGTGACGGGAGTCTTCGCGGAAGAGCTCGGCACGACAGGAGTCTTCGCAGAAGAGCTCGGCACGACAGGGGTCTTCGCGGAAGAGCTCGGCGCAAAACGGTCAAGAGAAGTCTGCTTGCGCTCTCTCTCTCTCTTATCGCGGAAAGAAGGTCGGGGAGCCATCATGCGACGAAGCTCAGAACGCGTAGGAGATGGATCGTCGGACAGCTCAAAAACTCTGAAGTCAGAACGCGCGGCTCGAGCTCTCTCAACACGTTCAAAGTTGAAGTCTCGTTTCCAGTCAACCTTCTTGGAAGCAAACAACCGCTGGACCTCGAACAAGTTATCCGGAAAGTGAGGGAAGTAGCGACGAACTGCAAAAAACGACGAACAAAGAAATGAAGTGAGCAAAATATTTGAACGATCAACAAGCAAAAATAAGAAGCTACGACTCGGCTACCAAGTGGTCCCGGCGTAGTCCTGATCAAAGAAAGACAATCTTTTTGCACAGAGAACTCGTCGACAAGGACATACAAAAAATAATCATCCCAAAAATGATCTTTCTCCGGAAAACCAGTGATGACCCGCCGATCCCGCTTGCTGGAGAGGTAGTATCTCTGAGACCTTTTAGCGCCGCGAATCTCCTGCAAGTTCTGAAAGTGCGAGACCTGAAGATCGACGCGGCACTCGAAGGAGCGAACCAAGATCCCAACAAGATGCCGCAGTCCCCGTGGAGCAATCTGAGAAAAAGCGAGGCCGTACTTCCGCAAGTAGCGCACGATCAAGTTCGGCAATAGGAACCACAAAAGACTCCCCTTCACAAAACTCTCATACAACGTAATGTGTCCAGGAGGCGGCTCGTCAGCGCGATCTTGAGGCGACGGGAGCACGAACTTGACGTTCCCCGAAATTCTGAACTTGGACTTCATTTTATCCAAAGAATCCTGAGTAGAAAGGGTAGAGCCTGCTGGATCCGGTCTCTTCCTCTTGGCTCGCGCGCGCCGTGGGGCTCTAACAGCCTGTGACTCGATGAACATACGCAACCTCTCGCACTCTTCGCTCGAGTCAATCAGAAAATCGCCCTCTTCCATCTTCACCTCGGCGGAATCAAGGAGATTCGAAAGCTCGTCAATGTATTCACGGAAAATCCTCTCTCCGTCGCGCTCCTAGTTAAGAGAACCGCTCAGCTCGTCGCCACAAGTCTCCTCGTCGTCCGTATCGTTCCCGACACGCGGCGAGACCGGCCCGGCTTCAGAGGAAACTGGCTCGGCGCAATGAGAACCAGATGCCTCAGTACAAGGAGAATCAACCATTTCAGTACCGGATCGACTTGCCTCGTCAGACTGACTCGCCTCATCGGATCTACTCGCCTCGTCGGGAATCATAAGTCACGGCTCGGCGCAAATCGAACCACACTCGAATCAAAGACCAACCGATAGCTCGGCCGCGATACGACGTGAAACAGAATCGACGCGGATGATCGAATCAGACGAGGAGATGAAGCAATCGGGTTCGGCGGAGGCGCGTTTGATCGGGCTCGGCATGAATCGATAAACAGAAAGATCCGGCGAAGGACGGGTTCGGCGCAATCAGATTCAAGGCGGGACGAGAAGGAGAGTTGGTTCGGCACAGGCGACTTCGATCCAGATCGACGCAAAGTGGGCTCGGCACAATCGAATCCAGCCGAGACGATTTGAGGAAACGGAGTGATCGGGCTCGTCCGAGAAACTTATAGCTCGGCGGAAAAGACAAAACAGACGGGTTCGGCGACAATGAAGGTTGGGCTCGGCGCAGGACGGCCCAGTTCAAAAAAAAAAAAGATAAAAAAAAATAATAAGAAACCTAGAGAGAGAAAGAAGAGAGAAGGGAGAGCTACCTTTTCAAAATTTGGAGGAGCAAAAAGTGTGAGAAAGAAGGAGGAGATCAAGCATTTAAAGAAGTGGAAATAGGGTTTCTACCTATATATGAATAAGGCCCAAGCCCGTTTCAGCACAGCCAATTACAATTGCAATGGGAAAAGGACGAAAGCGTACGGACGAGGCCTCGTTGGTGTCAGACAAAGCCTGTCGCAGGTCTCGGTCAAGATTCTTGAAGCTCGTCACTCTTATCTCTAAGACTAACGAGCTGGCGGGCTAACTGTTGGGGATGGATTTCACCCCATCGAGACCAACGGTCAAGGCGCGCGTAGACGAAGAGCGCGCAGAAGGAATCACCAACGACGAGCCAACTAGCTGCGACGACCCAAACCTTCACGACGCGGGAAGGTTCAACAAGTTTGAAGCGTGCGACGAGCCAAGTCTAAGCGTTCGAAACGACGACGCACCACAAACGCGGAGTAAGAAGTTAATGGGCCAGACCAACGTCGAGTTGGGCCGAACCAACATCAACGATTCGAGCTGAGGCCCACGACGCACTTGTGATTTGCCCTAGAACGCAAGGTTGGCGGCGCCGCAAAGGATAACACCAAATCTTGGAGAATATCTCACAAGATTCTCAGAGAAAGTCGGTGAACAACTTGTATAAATAGATATTAAGGCTCATTGTTTCAGCCATCACTTTTTGACACACTGTTACGCTGCACAGCTCATCACACTTTACATCAATAAAAACCACTACCTTTGGATCTCGTTTTGTGTTACACTTAGAATTTCTAGGCCCTCTCTTAAAAATATCTCTTGAATCTACTGTGCGGATTTTGGTTCACACAGTACCTTCCCCAACGTAATGGTAAAAGAACTAATATCCAGCCTTAAAAAAGTCCGTTATTCAATCGAAAGTTCACTCAAAAGATTCTAACCATGGATATTGTTCTTCTCATAATGTTCAACAACAAGGACATACAAGTTCAATACCCAACACTCTGTTATCGTACATTCAAGATGTAAGACAATTCCATCTTTCTTCTTTCCGAGCTTTCTGTTAATACCATTGCTAACATTTTTTATGCAGGAACTAAGAGCTGCAAGTATTTCTCCTCAAAAAGCAATGCATGGTGCAGGACAAAAAGCACCAGCTCTTGCTCAATATCTTGCCTTAAACCCATACTCGCATCAGCCTGGGATGCCTTTAGATCAGTATGGCAATGTGATAAGCTATTCTTTCGTGCCACAGAGTTACAACCCTTACATGCCTTCAAATATTCAACAAGTGTCTCTGCTAGTAACCATTGTAGGAACGCAATTTCTACAATGGGCGACTAATAATTTTATATGAATATGAACAAATTAATAGAAAGCAATATTAAAATGATACAAAATAAACAAGAATTAAGGAAAAAAATCGGATTTGCAGAGTCGAGATATGATCTCTTTCCTTAATTCTGTAAACGCCTTGTAGTGTGACGGTTGCATGGCGTTCTGAATCCGAGGATATAAAAATGCACACTTCTTATGATTGCATCAGGCAAATCATAAGTTTGCGGACCATGTTTTCTATGATGTACTCTCATAAGAAAAACAAAACAAAAGAAGAGATGTGGAAGATTGTATGTTGTGTGAATGATGTATATTCTCTATTTCCACAACAGAAATAGAAGATGACTTTATAAAGCCCCATTTGCTTCCAACGTACAAGGAAGAGCAATAAGGTGGAGATTTGAGAATTAACTAGGGGATTACCCACGCCTAATGCGTGGGATTGAATTAACTTAAAAACTTTCATATTTAAAATAAACCATTATTGAATTGATATGTCGTTTATATTATTTTATTAATATTTATTTTGTTTCTTTATCGATACATATAAATATTTTTAATATAATAATAAGTATATTGTCTCGATTGTAGGTTTTTTTGTTTACGGAATAATGGATAGATATTTAGTTATTTATGTATATATATTATTATATGTAAGTTGTTTCCTATTTTCAAAATACATTAATTATGTGATTTGTTCAAAAGATTATAATTTAACTAAATCTAAAAGATCTTTAGAAATATTGCTAATAATTAAAATTTAGTCAAGGTAAACCTTCTTTAAAATTTATATTAAAAAAGCAAATAGCAATATCCACTACATATTGTATGAAAAAAATATATATTTTTTAAGTTTTAATAATTTTCACCATAATTTTAAGTATGTAAATTTCCCGCAAACATATTTAAAATTTGCGGGAAATTTGATACATTTGATTAACAAACTATTCTGCAATGTTCTTTTCAAACAAAGTTTGATTAACAAATTTTTCACCGTAAATGTGATTCACTAAAATTTGTGCAATTAGTTTGTGCAATGATCTTACTTGTTCAATCTTCACCTCTTGATCACCATATAAGCCAAAAATTTATATCAATCATTCTGCAAACCAAAACCAACATTGTTCTCAGTTCAGAAATTCTTCTTCAAGACTGCACTTCCCATTAATACTGCTAAACCACTATTTAGTATGTTCTAGATCAGAATAGACAATAGCAGCATGAACCTAATAAATAACAGAAAGGTCTTTGTGAGTACGACTATGGATTATAAAGAGCACTGATGCAAGCTCTACAATAAAATCAATATAATAAAGTTAAAGGAAACATAGTTAAATCAGAAGATAATATCTAGAATATATGATGTAAAAAGAATCTATTCATCTACATAAATACCAAACTCATTCCCGATTATTACCTTCTTGGCTAAAGTTCGGTGAAGAAGCCTTTGTTTTGCTTCATTTTCTTCTCCATCAATATTCAAACCCAAACATGAATCCCAGCTCTATTTATTACAATATGTATTATGTATACATGTATAAGCTAAAACTTGAAGTCAATGCACGCGATGGATATGTATAAACAGTAGTGTTTGTCTTCTTGAACATTTAATCATAAGAACTCATTTAAATAAAAACTAATGATTTTGGATCTACAGGCTCATGCAAAAAGTAAATCATGCAATTTATTACAAAATCAGTCTCTTTCGTATTTTTGCCTAAAAAGAAAACTACAGATTTGAAAAAAGTTATTCGTATTTTTCTTTCTTTATAATGACATGCAGCAACAGCAATTTAAAGGTCGATCATCTGGTTCGGGATTAGAAGACTTAATTATGGGTTGCACAGCTACTTGCACAAATGACGTAAGTTTTTTTGTTAATTCAATTTGTGCATGATAGATGTAATATATTAATAATGATAACCATTATGCCCATTTGGCCATTTCAAAAGATCTTACAAAAGTGTAAATTTTGCAGGAAAGCTCAGAAGCAATTCCACAGCAAAATGCAGATTGGTTAACGTTTCCACACTTGTGGTAGGACCAAAATTACTAAAATGATAAAAAAATATATTACATATATTATAAACAATTGTTAATCAACAATCATTTGGTTTTGTTACGTGTAAGATCAAGGTCACAAAGGCCTCAATCTTGTAGTATTTGTTTTCTTTCGGAGAGATTTGAGTTAAAACAATGAATATTAGTGACCGCTAGACCGGCCACAATTTCGCAGGAACCAAACCGAGCAAGATGGTCAAAACCGGAGCTTTTAACCGAACCAAAAGGAAGCAGAGAAGTCTTGCAAAAACCTCTGGCGTAGCTTCTCAAACCAATGCCGGAAATGTTGAGCTATGATCTCTGCCATTAGCTTTAGACATCAGAGGTTACGATGAATGCTGATTCACTCAAAGAAGAGTGTAGCCTTTTAAATTCCTCAACAGCCTAGTTACACATGAAAATAACAATCTTTTAGAAACAAAAACCATATACTTTGTAATGACGAATCACACACAAAAAGACCATCTTGAGGATATGTCTCATAGATTACCTTCCTCTGTGATTGATGCAGCAAAACCCGCGGTCTTATTGAGCGAACATGTTCAAAATCTGTAGCTACAGTCATACTCTTATGCTCAATCTGAAAAACACACAAAGAGAAACAACAGTGAGAAGTTAATTCATTTATGGAGTACGCAATGCAATTGTAATTTAACCGAAGGATATAATTTAAAACCGACAAATCTATGAACTTGCCAGATAGCAAAGAACAACGACAGTACTTCTTAAACAAAAGATCAACCTTATTCGGGATACCCAGAACTGGCCGGAATTGAAATCCAAATTCAAAAACCCATATGTTGAAATACAAACACTGATTTAAGATCATGTAATTTACAGAGAATTTGACGTAACATACGGATCTTAAGAGGTATAGCAAGAGATTTGAAATCGCCAACCAAGTTCGATGCGAAAGAGATGGATCTGAGATCAAGCTCCATAACAACGATCTCAGTCTCCGTTACTGGCCGGAAAAATCAACATCCCTTTGTTTCGCTAGAACTCTCACAACCTTCACCAAACACCAACAGAAAAAAAAATGAGAATCAACAGATAAATCGAATCGACTCACTCGAAACAGGGAGAATAAAGTGAAAACAAAAACTCACTGGTGGGCTTGCAGGGAAGGATGAAGAGACATGTAACTTCTGAAGTTATTTATATAGAGATTTCAATCTCTAGGTTAAATCTTTTTGAGAATTTGGTGCGTTCAAGTTGAGATTCATGATATAGTAACTATAAACGTGATTAACAATTTCTTTCAATTTGCAGAATATTTGAATATCAGC